CGGGGCGAGACGTTAACGGCCCCTCAGGGGAGTGCGGCTGCCGGYGGCGGTTCGCGCTTTCCCTCATGCCTCCATCGCCGCTTTCTGCCCGCAGGAACATCCCGAAGTGGTAAAGATGGTGAAAGTCGGAGTCAATGGGTGAGTGTCGGGGCCAGCTAGGACAGCAGGGATTTTGGGGAGGGGGGGGCGAGGGGGATATACCGGAGTGGGGGGGCAAGGTCGCCTCAAGGGCGCGGGGGCGGATTTGGGGGGGGGCGGGGGGGGGAGGAGAGGTTGAATCCCGCCGGTCCTGCTCCGCTGGTGTCCCCCGGGCAGAGCGGTGCTGCTGACTCATTTCCCTTCGGATTCGGGGTGACTCAGCCCGGAAGGGGCTGCCGTTGCACGGCTGCCCCAATTTCCCCCCAATTCCCGGGGATCCCCGCAGCCCCCCACCAAAAGGTCGCCCAGTGGATCGTGTATCGATGGCGGCCCCCGGGGATGTGACCTTCTCGTGCCAGGCCGAGGAGTAACCGGATCCCCGGGGCTCTCAGTAAATTTAGCGATTGACCTTTCCGGGGCGAGGGTCGCTCTTAATCTTTAACCGGGGTGCCTTGGCCTTTGGACGAACTGCAGGGCTCCCTCCTGCCCTACCGGGCAGGGAGCAGCAGATGATCCTGAGGGAAGGCTGCCAAGGACTGCCTGTCATACCCAGCTGGGCAGGTTCCCTGTTGCACCTCCTCACGCATGTCTTTCTCTCTCCAGATTTGGCCGCATCGGCCGCCTGGTCACTCGGGCTGCCGTCCTCTCTGGCAAAGTCCAAGTGGTGGCCATCAATGATCCCTTCATTGATCTGAACTACATGGTGAGTTGCTTCGTAGTGCCCTCTTTGGGCCTTTCTGAGTAGGGCTCCTCTGGATGTGTTCTAGTAGCTTCTCAGAGTGTTAGAGGATCATGGCAGCCTATGTACCTGACCTTCCATTCCYTCTCTATTAGGTTTACATGTTCAAATATGACTCTACTCATGGCCACTTCAAGGGCACTGTCAAGGCTGAGAATGGGAAACTTGTGATTAATGGGAATGCTATCACCATCTTCCAGGAGTAAGTATCTTTTTCCCTGTTGCCCTTCTAGAGGATGAAAGCAGGTGTGTCATGGAGCAGCGCTTAAAATTTTGTCCTTCCTTAGGCGTGACCCCAGCAAYATCAAGTGGGCAGATGCTGGTGCTGAATATGTTGTGGAGTCCACCGGTGTCTTCACCACCATGGAGAAGGCCGGGGTGAGTATGCCCCAGAGGCACAGGAGMGAAGGGATAGTGCTGCTTCTGCCTGTGGGTCACATTCACTATGTACAGAGCTGCTCAAGATGGGGCTGTTAAGGAGAAGAGGTTGTCTGAAGAAGAAAGCTTGGCAGGATCCTGAGTTACCTAATCTCTTACCTCTTTCTCTCCAGGCTCACCTGAAGGGTGGTGCCAAGCGTGTGATCATCTCTGCCCCCTCTGCTGATGCTCCCATGTTCGTGATGGGTGTCAACCACGAGAAGTATGACAAGTCTCTCAAAATTGTCAGGTAAGGAAAACGGAACATGTTTTCTGGCCTGGACTGCTCATCAGCTGCCTGGGGTTTCATCTCACCTCASTGGATGTGTTGCCTCTGGCTAAGGTGCTTTTTTTTCTCTACTCCAGCAATGCTTCCTGCACTACTAACTGCCTGGCGCCCTTRGCCAAGGTCATCCATGACAACTTTGGCATCGTGGAGGGTCTTATGGTAGGTCTGCAGTTTAGTGCTGAGGAGGGTAACCTATCCATGGATCCCCTCSTGTGAGAGGGAAAGCTTCTGTACTCCCTGTGTCACCTGGGAGAATATTGGCTGTATTCTTACTCCTGTGCTCTTTCTTCAGACCACTGTCCATGCMATCACAGCCACACAGAAGACAGTGGATGGGCCCTCTGGGAAGCTCTGGAGGGATGGCAGAGGTGCTGCTCAGAACATTATCCCAGCATCTACTGGAGCTGCTAAGGCTGTGGGAAAAGTCATTCCTGAGCTCAATGGGTGAGTATTGTCCTTTCTCGATGTCAGGAGGAGGCAGAACATTCCTAGGCTGGCAAAGGAGTGCCAGATGCTGTTCTTGCTGACTCATGTCTCTCACAGGAAACTTAC